CATGCACTGATTATATTAAACACATCACAGCCCATAGTATCGCCAACCAACTTTCTGTTTTCTCAGAAACTACTCTGGACTGCCTCTCAACAAGAAAATGATTCACCTGGCCATGATAAAGCCAATTCTATACTACGCATTTCTGGCCTGGACCTCAGCCTCAAATGCAGACTTTCACAAATGTCAAGTAGCGCAGAATAAAATCCTTAGAAACAAACTGATCCATGATGACTTGAAAATCGGCCCTATAACGGATTTTATACATATACACATTCCTAAACTTAATAAGCATTTCTTCAACACTGAACTTGGATGTAATGCTACAAAATTTTCAGATGTCCTTAATTACCAAATCATACCTGAAGATAATTTGGTCAGATCATTTGCTAACCACATGCCTAGAGACCACATTTTTGTGACCTATCTTGGATTGCTGACTTTTACTTATTTTCTTGTGTGGGACTTTTATCTCTCATCACTTTTCATCTGATTAGTATCCTTGTAGGATAGGAGACAATTGTCACCTCACTCCTTTACCTCATTTTCCTCACTGTTCTGAGTTTCATCTGCTAACTCGTTGAGGTAATGTGCCATCAGAGGCTGAATTGATTTACCTAGCTTTTTAAGGCTCCCTCTTGGGCCACATAAGCAACTTCATAATCTGTATCTGTGTAACTATTAAGGTGTATTCTGTCAACATTTTGTAATGAAGTCCAGTTTTGTCTGTATTATTGTGTGGCTTGTATTCAATTAGCAATTCCAGTAAAATACCTTCTATTTAGTTTTCAGCTGCATTATGATCTGCCTCTTCCTTCTCACCGTGCAGTTTCTGATGAACAATGTTGGATTTTTCTTTCTCCAACTTGTCAGCCTGAATAGTTGATACAAAATTCTCTCCTAACATTTAGCAAATTAGTGAAATAAGTTCTAAAAATGGAAACACATTGTAACTTTATAGCTCGAAACCATTCCCGAAAAGCAGTTTCAATGTCTCCTTGAGACATTTGCATTTTTTATTCTCTTCATCAATTAGAATTCCTTATTAAGTTAAATTGCACAGTGCTGTCTGGGAAACCCCCAGTTCAAACAAAGGTTTTCTTTGGCTGCAATTATCAAATATATATATATATAAACTGTTAAAAATTTAATTCTTTTTGTCAGTTTTTTTTTTTTTTTTTTTTTCCATTTGTCATTTTTAACATGTTGCAAGTAAATCGCATGATATATATACCGCACAAAGTCCGTAATCCGGACGTCCATTATCCGGAATGATCTATAATCCGGACCTCAAAGCCACACACATTTTTTTTGTATGCTTTGTACGCATGCGTGTTTAATGAATAATGGACTGTATAAGCTAGGCTAAAATTATCTTTACTGATTCTAAGGCATTTCAGTTGATGTTGCAGATTGCGCTGTTCCTTAATCTTCTAATTGGATCCAGATTATTATTTTTTGCAGACTGTTAGAGCAATTTTATAAAAATTAAGCTTGAACTTTCGATTATGTCAAAAATAGTTTCCAATTCTGGAGCTGCCAAAGAATCTACAAAGCGAAAGCATATTTCGATGTCCATCAACAATAAGTGGAATTGCTGCAAAAAATGGATAAAGGCATATCCGTCTCAAAATTATGCGAGGAGTATGACATTGGAAGGTTCATTGTATATGACATAAGCAAAAAGAAAGAGGAACTTTTTGAATTTTTTGTGGATTCCAACAGCCCACTTGCAATGAAAAACAGAAAAAGTGTTCGTTATGCTAAAAGTGATGATCATGAAAGTGATGATTGAATGGGTCAGACAGCATCGCAGCGAGGGCATGCCATTGACGGGTCCAATGCTAATGGCTCAAGCCAAAATATTTCAGCAAGAAATGAACTTAAACCCTGAGTGCACATATTCGACAAGTTGGTTAACCAAATTTAAATTTGCCATGGTATAAGACAATTAAAAATTTCAGGTGAAAAAGCTCCAGCTGATACTGAAGTTGCTAAACAGTTTGCAGATGAATTCATTGAACTCATTACTAGTGAAAAATTATCTCTAGAACAAAGTTACAACACTGATGAAACTGGTCTTTTCTGGAATATATACCGTGAAATACCTTGGCAACTTCTACAGAAAAGGCAGTAATAAATGACGATGATATAACTGAAGTTTTTCATTGCAACAACAATGCGCCAATCATCAATCAATTAACGGACGGCGAAATCTGTAGTATGGTTCTAGATGCAGAAAATACTGCTTCCGATAGTAAAGAAAGTGACAGAGAGGTTATTGAAAATGAAAAAATTTCGATTGACAAGTTAGTCGGTATTCTCGGAATAGCAATTACAGGACTTGGACAGTGGAACTTTGTAACTGAACAAGAAATTATGTCTGTTTATAGAATTAAAGACAAAGTATTAGCACAAAAAACAAAGCAACTTAAACAATTTACATTGAAAGAAAAAAAAAAATATATAAAGCTTTTTTTTTTTTTTTTTCTTTTGTAAATTTTTATACCCTTTAGATCATAATTGCTCTTTATTTCATAAATTACGGTTTCATATTTTTAGTTGTATAATTTCTGCGTGCCATCTTACAAGATTTAAATTGATGATCTATAATCCGAAAAAAAAACCTAATCCAGAATCGCTGAAGTCCCGACGAGTCCGGATTACGGACTTTGTACTGTATATATATATATATATATGTAGTATCCGTAAGTGCGACACAACCACCAGAGAACCTCACCTATGCGCCAGCAGCGAGGTGAAAGATGAGTATGACATAGACAGAGAGACTTTCTTTCTGCTATCCCACGCGAAGGTGGCGAGATGTCTGTCTACACGTGAAGGTGTAGAATAAGAAACTAGTTTTTCACGCGAAGGTGGTAAATTGGACTGTATGATACATCAGCAAGTCCGAGTAGGCACTAATCGGTTATGTGATAAGACTGGTAAAACTATACAGAATCCTATTTGTATCAAACGGCACTTGTATTTAATCTAATTTGTACCTTTTCTGATTATCTTTATTAAATGTTCTGTGGTGTGGAAAACAACGTTGGAATTGTTATTTAACATCTTCAACTCCCCCACTACATATATATATATATATATATATATATTTTAAAAAGGCCTCTTCTAGTGATACATTCAAATTTCAAAACTTACGTTTGTAGCCAGCAAAAAGATTGGCCTTTGTCTACTGATCTGACATATCATGCTTAAAAGCATCTCCAATGGTCTCTACTTTTTCTTCATCTACAGTGATCACTTCCCCTTAATTCAAAATCTTTGTTTGGTAATACTAATTCAAAATCTAATGTATGGTAATTCTAAGAAGCATTTTATGCACATTTTTCTGCCTTTCTGTGAATATAATGTACATATCCTAAGAGAAATAGTTTCAGTGTGAAAATCTTACAAGTTGGGAAAGAAAAATTCCATTTTCACCTCCTTAACAACTGCTAATCGAGAACTCCCATATAATGCTTCTCGAGGATTGTGTTTGTCAACCTCAAGGTAAGGAAATTCTTTGTTTCATTTTGAAGACCAGTGGGAACAAAGAACTCTGAAAATAGTGTCTCGCATGTACAGGGAGCAGGATGAGTTAAAGTAACCATTATGCAAAATAAGCACATGCTTGAGACATCAAATACAGAAGGCACTAAAAAAAATCACTAAAGGATTGGGCAAGACAGCATCACCAAAATTCCTCAGTGTAATCTTATTGTAAAATGTATTGAGCACCTAAACCAAAAGTTGGAATGGAAAAAAAAAAAAAAAAAGCATTCATTTACACTGGAACACCAAAATCTTGCAGTGCGCGGGACTCTTTTTCTGAATCGAAGAGTAAGAAAATTTCAATCAAACCCATTTTATTGAAGCATTACATATCTGAAAAGAAAAAAAAAAACATAGTTCCCAATACATTAAATGGATGAACTAGAAAAAACTTTTATAGGTATAAGTAAGATATTTTGCCACTGAAATTTTAATGTTCTATGGCTAATTTTTTTTTTTTTTTTAATTATGTGAGATACATATATACGTACATACAGGCATCAACAAAAAAATCCCTTTTAAGTCCATTTTACAATTCGTTTTGGGGGTTTAAAAAAAATCCTTTATTTTGTGTGTACGTACAGATGTTACACAAAAGAAAAGAAGTCCAAATGAATATTTTCATTTAAACACAATAACTGAAATTTTCCGCAATTACAATACTTCCTATACTTTGCACAAAAATGTCAAAACTACATCATCAAAGACGTTTATTCAAATTTTGGTATTTACCAACATTTTCTATACTTTTTGCTGTTTAAGAATTAACTGTTTAACTTACATAACATGTTTGAAAATAATCTAAATAAATGTATATATATATTATTTTTCAAGTTTTAGAAAGCAGGGGTGGGGCATATTCTTCTAGCAATGTTGAAAGGGATGCATGGGCAAAAATGGTCGAGAACCACTGATAACGGTCCAGATAAATAATAATTTTATTCTGAAAAATACAAAAATGTATATGCACTAACATTGAAATAATAACTACAATTCACTGTAGCTTTATCTCAAAAAAGCTTTGTTCAGTCAAAATTTTAACTTGTATACTACAATAATCTTCACTTAATTATATCTGTGCATTTATTACAGAAATGGAGATGCTTATTTATTATCTAAAGGTCAAGTTTTACAGGGCAAATCAGTGCAAAAGAAACTTTCTTTATAAAATTTGTTAGATATAAACACTTTTCAGATTTTAAGCACCACTATCAAAGAAGCTGTGCACTACTCAAATCCAAACTTCCAAATTCTAAAGGAAAAACTATTATATTATACTTTAACTTAATTCAACATGACACCTGATAATAACTCAAAGTAAATTCCCAATAATTTTTGTGCTCTTCTTCATTGCTTCTTTTCACTTTCTAAAATTACTTTTTGTTGTAACTTTAATACTTAAAAGTTAATTTTGTAAACAACTTAAACTACATACAATTAGAAAACACTTTTTAGCAAAACCCAAAATAGCAACACTTTTATTTTATTAATGACAATATGCAAATAACTTATCACAGAGTATGTATAGTCGGTAGAAGGATCATATGAAGCTTTACTCAGATGCTGTTTCTTAAAAATAGGCACTTCAAGGCATTGTCCTTCTTTTCATTTGCAGTCATTACTCATGTCATAATTACCATACATTACTTTTCCCCATCCTTGTCTGACACTGTAGTTCAAGTCAGTCTTCATTTGCAGACTCTTCATGAGGCAAAAGATTGCAGAAATGAAGCGGAGAAAAAACTTATGCAAGTCGACCTTTTAACTATGGCTATTATTCCCATGGTTATGAGTCTAATCAGGCAATAAAAAAATAACCTTTAAGTTCTTATTTCAAAGTAACAATCTATAAGAGTAGACAGCTTTAGTTTTTTGAAGAAAATATTTTTTTGAAGATATATTTTTTTGAAGAAAAGGTCCATTAGTTAACTAATTAGGGTGGCCAACTTTACAATTTGATATTCCAGCAGGTATTTAAAAAAAAAAAAAAAAAAAAAAAAAAAAAAAGACCTTGGGAATGAATTAAACAGATCATATTTTGAACACAAAGAGGAGGGGGGAAAAGCAGATGATATAAAAACAATAGTATAAGAAAATGACAAATAGGCAATAATGATAAATTCATACAATCATAATGAAATAAAGGATATCACAGATGCTTGGCTTAAAAATAATTATGCATCAGTACTAATACAGATAAATCTTTTAAAAAAGAAACTTTTTTTGTGTTATGTAACTTTAGTGAGAAAAAGATTACAGTTAAAAGCATGTAATTTGATTGTCAATTTTATTACAGTTTTATATAGTAGCTGTTATTATACAAAAATCTGACACAAAAGCCAGTATGAAATTTATTTTTATGCCACTGTTTCATTTGTTCCTTGAAAAGTAACTAGATGTTTAGTTAAAATGTACATTAGAATAGGTTGTATAATACATATTCCCAATAATAAATATGAACTTTGTCGACCACTAGATGAGTAATGGTCTGATGTTGTTTTTGGCAAAATAAGTACTCGTAATGTACGTATCTGAAACAGAGAAAGGAAAAAATTAGACACCTAGAAAATTTACACAGTTCATCAGTAAAAAATTCTTTAATTTTGCATTTTTAAAATAGAGATTCTCATGTATACATTGACACAATAAATAAATAAATAAATAAAGCATTAAAAATCCAATTATAAAAGTTTCAACATACATTTTGTACAATTTGTATTTAAAAGTGTTTGTCAGAATTATGGTAAGCAACATACAGGAAGTGAAAGCATACAAAAAAGTACTTTTGCATTTCAAATATTGGGAACATATATTAACAAATATAATAAATACAAAGCAATTTCAGTCATAGTTTAAAAATTCAGAGCAATAACACACAGATTTCTCTGTTATGTCAAGTCTTATTGTACTAAATTAAGGAAAATTTCTGCTCAACAGAAAAGCTAGCTGTAAGAAATCCTTTATATATACGAGGGTTGGAACTTTAATAGTGGCAACACAGCTGAAAAAACGCTATGCAACAAAACCAAAGAATATCGCGTATACCACACGTGAACTACATACCTACCTTACCTCTCAGCAAAAAGACTCGTCCTGCCTACGTCACGCGCACGCGGAATGATGCGAAGAACGAATCCTTGTATTAGCTCGCGGTCTAAAGTAAGTGTTGTCAGGATGTTTTCAAAACAATAACAACGATGTTGGATAAAAATTGAATGTGCAAGAGATCATACAGCACGACAGTGTCATCAAGGGCTTCAAGAGGCTTGCGGGGAATCTGCATTGCCTTACAGAACCGTAGCAAGATGGATGAAAGCATTCAATGAAGGACACCAAAACATGGCAGACACGCTGCGGCCAGATTGTCCGAGTGTCAGCGATGCAGACGTGCAAGCTGTTGCCGCACTAATGGACAGTGATCGCTGCCAAACAATTCGTCAGCTAGCCGGACAAACAGGATTAGCTCATACGACTGTGCTGCACATTCTGAAGGAACGCCTGTCCATGAGAAAAATTGCTTCACGATGGGTTCCACATCAATTGACGGAAATGCAGAAATGGCTACAATACAATGCTGCCCGAACCCACCTGGAGCGCTATGAGCGCGAAGGAGATGCTTTTTTACACTGTATCATTACGCTGGATGAGATTTGGGTCCGATCGTAGCAGCCAGAACTGAAATGCCAATCAAACGAATGGCATCATCACAGGTCACCACGACATTTGAAACCCAGCAATGTGAAAGTTATGGTGATTCTCGTGTACGACTGTGATGGTGTCATCCTAACACATACCGTTCCCCCACAGCAGACTGTCACTGCGCAGTATTACTGCTCATTTTTGGAGCACAATCTCCGACCAGCTTTGAGATAAAAACGGCGACACTTTCTGCAGAACGCTCCTCTTATTTTGCATGACAATGCTTGGCCGCATGCAGCGCAAGCTGTGACTGATTTGTTCAAGTGATGGGGCTGGGAAGTGCTTTACCATCCACCATACTCCCCAGATCTAAGCCCTTGTGATTATGACTTAATTCCTAAGATGAAGGAACCACTTCGTGGCACTCGCTTCCACTTCGTTCCTGAGATTCTTGCGGCAGTAGACCGGTTATTCAAACTATCAACAAAACAGGCGCTGCTACAGGTATTCTGCGACTTCCACATCGTTGGAAATGGGTTGTACACAATGCTGGTGACTATATTGAAGGACTGTAAAACATGGTGACATGAATCACTTTTGTATTCCTTGTAAATAAATAGTTGCCACTATTAAAGTTCCAACCCTCGTATATATATGTTAGTCCACCAGCAGTAGTTTATTAGGGTTCAAAACCCAGTGAACAGGCTAGCAGCTTTGGGAATTTTTAGATTTTTCCAATTTGTAACAGGAATATGTGCTAGTTTTCCCTAGGAAGTCCTCCTTGGTGGTATCCCTTCCCTTAAGCAGATAATTCTTGCTCCAAACGAAATAATATAAATTGCCTTGAGAGCCTTTCTCTAATACAAATAATATAAAAATAATCCATTTTTCAGTTACTAAAATTTTTGTAAAACATTAACACACTGTACAAAGGGAGGGGAACATATTTTCTGGATATGCACAATGAGTTTCCTAAATAATGCTGAAATTGACTACCCTTTACATAAAATAACAGCTTTTTAAAAATTGTCTCTCATTGGAGAGGAGTGGGAAATAAAAATAAACGGAAAAAATCAAAGTTAAAAATATATACAAAAAAAAATTGCTTCTCTTGTATGTATTGTTTCAAACTCATAGACGTTGACTTTTTAATAACAATATCAAAAACAGATTTAAAAAAAATACATTTACAAAAAGGTTACATTATATTTTTATTTACAACAGATACGATAATTAATGAACTAAAAAGAGAAAAATAATTTATCACATAATTTTAAGAAAAAAGGAGTACTAATTCTCTTTAGAAAATTTATTTATAATTTCATACCTTGAATAATAAAAACTGGTCGTCCATGAGAATAATAAATTAATTCTTAAACATTTTTCTAATAAGTAATTATTTGTGTTATTATCAAGCACATTGCAGGCTTTTATTAGTCATTGTATAAAATTGTGAAAAATTTTGTAAAGAGATTTATTTAATCTTCAGTTTCCATAAAACTGGAAGATAAATTATTTTTCCATCTTGAGTTTATTAATTATCCTATTTATTATAAATAAAGCTTAATATATAAAGACATTTTTTTGATTGTAATTTATTTAGAATTCTTGTTTTAAAAGAGGAGGAAGTGTTTATGAAATCTGTGAAAATTTCATAACTTCTATTCAAATTAAAGAGCTGAGCAATTTTCAAAAATTAATCAAACATTCAGAAATTAAATTAAAATTTTCATACAAATTTCATCTGGAAATAATTTTCTTAATCTCTTTGACGGTTCTGATACCTTTAGTTTGTTCATTAAACACAAAAATATACGAAAATTGTTTAAATAGTAAATAAAAAAATTCTATATTGAATTAAAAAAAAATTGCTTCATCACACTGCAATGTAATCAACAAACAGTGAGCGTGCAAAATTTGAACTCCGTAAGTTACCAGGAAGTAGTTTAAAGATCTATGACAAAATTCCAACCATACTGAAATACCAAGAGTTATTAACTCATATCATTTTCTCCCTTCTTTCTGCATACCTTTGTGGTGTAACGGTAGCACACTCGGTGCATATTCCAGAGGTTCAGGTTCAATTTCCAGCGAGGACACTGCTCATTTTTCGCATTGCCAGCCTACAATAGCTAATGACTCTACAGTGGCACCGGAACTAAAAGTGGTGGATGACGATTCTTCACCACCAGGATTTGACACTGGGTCCTCTAATACCCAATTGTCCTTTAAAAGGGGGAGTATATAAGGCATTTTCTCCCTTCTTTCTACATGCCTTCATGGTGTAATGGTAGCACACTTAGTGCATATTCGAGAGGTCCAGGTTTGAGTCCCAGTGAGGGCATTGCTCATTTTTCATGTCTCCTGCTTCAAAATAACCTAATGACTCTACAAACTAAATAAAAGCTTATAAAAAGGAAAAGAATTTCAACTTTTTTTAGCAACTTTTTTAACTTTTCCAGCATTTGTTTTTCTTTGTTTTAATGCAAAATGGCATTAATAAAAAAAAATACTGAAATGCTAAAAGATGTATTACTATTTGCAAAGGATAATTATCAAGTGAATAAACTTAAAGGCATACAAAGAAAATGGACAATAATATGCATAACTAAATTTCATATTATTATTTTTTATGTAGACAACAGTATTCATAAAAGGTAGAGTTAACTCATGTATATACACTAATGGTATGAAATAAAATTACTTGAAAAATGTTTAAATGTTTATTAAGATTCACAAATAAAATTACTTTTATTTTAAATTTACATTACTATGTTGATCAGCAAAACACTCCCATAATATGGAAGATAAATTAAAGTTCTAAAGTTTCATGAACTGGCATGGATTCTGTACTTGTAGCTGAAAAAGCTCACAATGGCTCATATTTGTTTTCAGACACCTGTATTTTTTTAATTGATTTCTATAGATCTTGTACTAAATATTGTGACATCAACTCCAAATTCTTTCCTAATGTATTATTTTCTTCTCTATTCTGAGACTTGCTTGGTTACAAAATTAATATCATCAAAACATTCTTCTCAATAAAATAATTCATTTCCAAAGTGTTAATGAGTAACTCACATAATAATTCAGAGACATAAAAGTTTTGTTGACATGTTTTGAAAGATGATGTTCCTATACAAATTTGCTTGCTTTCAGTACAAACACATCATTACTCTTATCTGCCTTTGGAAAGTATTACTTTTTTTATCAAAATATATTAACAGTTCCATATCTGAAGTGAACACCGTAAGATGCTACAAATTAGTGACAGATTCTATTTGAAATTTAACTATTCATGATTTTAAAGATAATAAAAGTATTTCCAACATTCAAAAAATCCTTGATGCAAAGTGTTTAACTAACTTTGATGTATTAAAGTGATAGAAATTGTGTGAATTTTTCAACATGCACTAAAGTCTGGACCATATTCCAAGCTAATGCAAAGGAATCAGATTTAGCTCATGAAAATTCAAACAAAACCTAAAAATTAGCATAATAAAACTTATAGACGATTTAGAAGAATAGCTCTCAATAAAAGTTAATTCTACAACTGTTTAAAAACGTCATTAAGGTACAAGGATAATATAGGCAATCGACAAGAATAAAATTCTTTGTCAACAAGAAAATAATGAAAATTTGCCTGGCTCATCCTGAAATCCATGATAAGAAAAGATTTATCATACTGAAATAACATTATATTTACTCCAATGGACAAACTGGTGTGAGGCAAATGAAGAACTGTACTTGAAAAACCTATTTCCTACTTTTAAGCATAAAGGTGAACGTATAATGGTTTGGTTATGTTTCACTGCCTTTGGGTTGGAAAATTTACCTTTTATAGAAAATTATATGGATCAGTATAAATATATAAATATTCTTAATGAAAACCTGAAAGCATCTGCAACAGAACTAAAAATGTACATTACATTCAAGTTCTATCAGGCTAATAATCCTAAAGATACAACCCTAAATGTTTGCTTGTGGTTATTTTACAACTGAAGTTATCAAAACTCCTCCATATTCTTTGAATTTAATCCTATCAAATGTACATTGAGTGAGAAGAAAAGAATAAGTAAATGTGATATTTCATTGAAAATGCTATTAAAAGTAATTCTTAGGAAGAGTGAAACAAAATAAAATATACTTACTTGAAAAATTAATTCAATCCATGCCAAAGTACACAAAAAGTAATTTTAGTTAACTGATATCTAATGAAGTATTGCATAACTCATTACTTTTATACTTTCATTAAATATAAACTGTCTGATCAAAGTGCTTGAATATTGACACAAGTTCATTTTCAGAACTTTTTGAATAAACTCCCTCACCTTTTTTTAACCAAAAACATTTTAAGTAACTTTTTTGAAAACAAGCAAGTAGTTTTAAAAAAGATTATCAATACTATACCTGAAAGAAAATGTCATTTCGCTAATATTTAGTAACATATTTTCAAATAAAGCTGAAAAATACGAAACAAATGAAAGATATTTAAAAAAAAAAAAAAAAAGAAATTTTTAAACAGTCCCGGCATTCAAATTACAAAAATACTTGTTATGCTTTAAATAATTAAAAAAAAAAAAAAAGCTTCCATAACTTGTTGAGTAAAATTTGCTCACCTAAATGATTTTATTTATAACTTAGATTATTTTTGCATCACATTAAAACATTAATTCCATCAGTGCCTTTAAATGAGAAATATTTCTTACAATGCATAGTATGAATTTAATTACAACCATATGCATACCTAGTAATGAGTACACTATATATATATTTTTCACAATGCATAGTATGAATTTAATTACAACCATATGCACACCTAGTAATAAGTACACTATATTTTAACCTTCTGAGTAGCACAGCCTTTTGGATTTGTTCATGAAGACCTGTAAACAGTTTCTGTTAGGTAAATTTTTTATAATTACTTAGACCTGTTTTCATTAACTTGCATTTATTAAGATGATATTTGCATTATTACAGAAAGCAAAATATTTTAAAGTACTATATATGCCAAATGATAAAAAATTTTATGATCAGATAAAGGCAGTCATGCCACTTAGGAGATAATTTTATATATTTAATTACCTATTTAAACTCAAGATTTTTTAGTGTACATAAATTTAAGGAGCACCTATAAAATGAAAGTATGATTTGATAAATATTGCTTTTGCATGGGAGTGAGAAGTTTCTGCTTTTATTTTTGTAGTAGACTTATTTATTTTTTCATGAAAAATTTTGTTAAACAAGCTTCTGCAAATCTTACATACAAAGAAATAAAATGCTTCATTTTTGCCTCACCATCTGCATTTTAAAGTATTTTACTCAGAGGCCTTACACTAGTAAATATTATACACTAGACATCCTTCGAATATGATTTATAAGCATTAATCATATTTAAAAACTAAATATGCACTAAACTTTTTAAGCACCTGTATGCACTGAATTATTATACCAGACATATTATGACATGATGCTTCTATAATCAAATGAATATTAACACGTTTCTTTCAAAGAAATACAGGCAATCAAATTTTTCAACGTTAATTATTTTCTCTGCCTCCTCACTTGGAAATTATCTCTAAACTTGTTACTCCACTATACGGCCCACAAACCACAGTCCAGCCAGATCCACACAATGACCATTCAAAATTTAAAAATTTTGTGCTTTAAAATCAAAAATGAATCCTTAATAAGTAATAATGAAGTATTAATATGTGACACACAGTTTTATGGCCTCTTACCCTCTCTTTAAAATTTTCTACCAGGCATTAATGACTATGCACTATGAATTTCACATTAAATAACTGTTCTTTACGCACACTATATATATAATATTATGCAAAGAATGAATATAAGATCAGCTTTTTTCTTTATTCAATTTATTAAAAGTTTTAAAAATTTGAAAAAACTGAACAAAATGTAAAATTTTTGCATAAAATGCATTAAAACATCTTAAAATTCTGGAAAATGTTTTATATAAAATAAAGCAATAAAACACAACAAAAACTTAATAATGCTATGCATATTGTTTAAAAGGAGCAGCCTCACTAGTGGCCAAGCAATAAAAAAAAAAGTTACCTATTTAAAATTTCTTTTGTATTATAAATATAGGAAATGTGATACAATAAGTTGAATTGCTTTATAATATATTTCATATATATATATATTGCAAAATACTAACCAAAAAGAAACCAAGAGATATGCTACAGTATCCAAGCGCAACAAAATACCCAAGAGATTTGAAGCCAAGTGAAGCCAATAATGCTGCCACCATACTTAAAAAAAAAAGTAAATAAAATTAAAAACAGAATACATATCATCACTTATAAAACTTTTTAAAAGACTTAATTATATGGAAAACTGTAATAAAATTATTTGTCCAAGAATAGTTAATAAATTATTGTCCAAGAAATTAGCAATAATTAAGTTACATGTTTTATTATGTTTATGTTGAGCAATATGCATAAAAAATTCGACTCGCATCTGCAAAATGAATAATACTCTTCAGAAATTTCATACTTACCATTTTCAGTTCTGAAAATAACTTTTATTAAAGTATTTTAATGTATAAATTATACACCAATTTGAATTTAAAACAGTAGATCACTAATGACTTAAGTGAACTCAGTTACATGCTCAGGCACCTAGACAGTTGCCCCACTCTGTGTAGAAGTGCATAGGGAAGTGAACATAATATTGAATTATGGTTAACATGATGGTGTGGAGGAGAGGGAAAAAGGCAATAGCCACCTCCCAAGCCACGAAGTCATTCAAATGAAGATATATCTTCAGAGTGAAGTTGGAACAAAAATAAAAGCAAATTGTACAATGAGTATGTGAGAATCGATAAGCAATTAACGGTAGAAGTAAGAAGTAAAAGAGAAGAATCCATCAGTAAGTCCAACGTCATGTAAGACATCCAGGGAAAATCTAGAAAACTAAAAGTAGCTGTAACCAGTAATCAGGAAGGTGATACAATCGATTATATGTGGTTGAACAAGTTCATGGGAGGCTGGAAGGGGAAGTGCAATTACAAGCAAAACAGGCACTGGATGAGGGCGGAACTAATAAAGGAATCAAGTACTTTTGAATGAGTCGGCCAAAAATGTGTAAAATTAAAGAAAATAAAAACAAATTACATTTATAATAAGAGTATTGTTTAATGTGCATTAAAAATATTACCTCAGGTGCAGCAAAACTGCACCAGGCCATTTTCTATTAAGAGTATTTGTAATATCACAGTCCATGAGTGGGATAGTTTTTTGTTAGCAAGACTGATCTTACTGAATTTTTTTAGCTATTCTTGCTGTGAATGCACTAATGTGTTCAACATTTAGTTCATTGTGAACAGAAGAATTTTTGATAAACCATCTGCTTTTAGTAATCTATCTTAATGTGACATTCTGAAGAGTCTGTAGTCTCTTAAATTGTGTATCACCAAGAAAGCCCCAAATGAGACAGGCAGAGGTGATGCTGGGCCAAAACATGGTCTTGTACAGGAGTAACTTATAGTCAACAGAGAGAATGGAGTTTCAGGAAATGAAGGGGTAGGTCACTGATTCATTTTTTTAAAAAAAGAAAACATTAATCCTTCATCTGGTTTAACTAATCTTACAGATTCATTGTGCATAAATTTACAAATATTCTGAGGTCAGACTTGTATGTTATGACTTATCACTTTACTGCAATTTATGGGCAGAATCTGTTGTGTGTGTGTAATCTTTCCCCCCCACTGTAATCTGTGGCCAGACATGTTTGTGATTTAGTACAGTTCAGATGTATATCTTAACAGTAACTTGAACCTCACAAATATATTGTGTCTGTTTGGGAATTTTACTAAATATATTTTCAATAGATTATTTTCTGGATAATGATAGTTTTTAAGACATTCCAAAAATAAAGCATAATTTTATTATTGAAACTTATAATTAGTTATTTTACCTTACCTTTAATCTGACCAATTCATTGCATATATTTAGATAATATTTTTGTTTATATTTTGTCAATTTTTGTACTTAATTTCTGACACAAATACATTGTGTTACAAGACAAGTTTCATTCTGAATAAATAAAAAGCATGCTTACATATTATTTTTATCATATTAAATAAATGCCATACATGAAAATAGTAGATGCATTGCATGAGATCTCACAACTCTAGTGTTGTCCCTAAAAGCAACTTAAATTCATCAAAATATTTATTGCTTTATCTTCACAAACCCAAAAAATCTATCCTACTGGTATCACAATACCGATTCAAAAACGTTTTTGAGAGTCCATCTGTGTTTTATAGGTTCTTAAATTATAAATTTTACATGTAGTTTCCTTAGTTTTGCACTTTTTATTTCTTTAAATTGTCCAAATATTTATAAATCAGAAGACATAAATGATGAAATATTTGTAATTATTTCACTAGTTACATCATTTGATATTTTTTGAAACACATATTTTATTTTGCATAATTCAATAATGAAATAAAATATTAATTATAAATTCTCAGATACAGATGAATTGAAAGTAACCACTTACCAAACATATTTGTAACTACAAAATGCAATCAGATCAAATACTTTTATAGATGAAGATGCATTTAATACATAGAGAGCCAAAAATAGTACAGCAATTTCCACAAGAGACCAACCTAATGCAGAACTTGCTTGCATGCCAAGTTGCTCAGGGCTAAATCTGTATTAAGAAAACAAAAATAATTTCTTTAACATTATTTCGAGTTAAGAAGGATTAACCATTTCAGGACGGGCGTCCCATATACGCATTCCCTAAGAACGTTTCTTACAGCCGGGTGTCCCATCCACGCATCGCTAGAGATTGCATTCAGAGGATGGGTGATGCGTATACGCATTTTAAGCTGGAACGTTTTTCTGAAGGCCCACTAGATGCATTCTATGTCCATTACTTTTGAAATGAACACAGTTTTAGGTTTCTGACCTTGAGTTTGATATATTCCGTCTGACTTTGGTATTTTACTCATCAACTGTTGTGAGGGTGGGGTGGGGGGAGCGAAAGTGTAAACAGAGGTGGGCTCTTTAAATCGTGGTGTGCTAATGGAAATATTCGCGTGTCTGATTTATATTCAATTCCTTTTTTAATTCTATTTTTTCCTCTACTATATACAGTCTTTCAGGGTTACAAAACAGCCCAGTCAGTTTTGCATTGACTTCATATATATTCCCATTTTTTCTCTTTTTATTTCTGGAAGTCTTACCTCTTGTCTATTACGGCACGAAGGTGTTATTTATCAGAGGAAAAATACCCTCGTATGGTTAACGAACCATTTACTAACGCAGATAAGGGTGATGATTTTTTTTCTAAATATTTAAAAAGTGATACTTGTTGTAAGAGTTAGAAAGTGATACTTCTCCATGCTTCCAGATTTACCACAGTCTTCATTTTTAATTTTGTTACTTCTTACTGTAAATAGGCTTTATTGTGTTGTTGTATTAATTTTAGACTGTATTGATGGATTTTATCAATTAAAACTTAGGAATAATTTGAATAGTGCTTCCGAAAATTACTTTAGAAGATAATCTGTCCTGTACGGTGACTGCATTAGATTCCTTTCCGTCCCGCACGAGTGTCTTAAACAAAAGTACGCCGCCACGAAAAGGTTAAATATACATTCTTCTGCATAGCTGTCAACTCTCCTGGTTTAATTTAAATCACACTTTAAATTATGGTTTAATAGTTAAAAATTGTGAAATTCTGAATTAAATTACCATGAAGATTTGACAAGAATACCTAAAAACTTATAGGCATAACATAAGTATGCATGCAATGTTAATAATCAGGCAGTGGGTCTACAATAAGAAGTAAATCTATTTTGGAAAATCTGACTTTCCATCAACTACCAAGATAAAACAATTTTTATGTCATAAGTCTGGTTATAACAAGTCAGAGAAATCATTTACCCCTCCCCCAAGGGGTTAGATGGTGTTTTCAGATAACCATTCTTTATCAAAGTACATAACATATGGCAACAGAAACATTTTTTACTGATTAAAATAATGATGCAAATGTTTATGAAAATTCCTAGGAGTGCATGCATTTTAATGTTTCTATAATTAATGCTGTTTCTAAAAATACTTTTTTAATGCTAATTTTAAAAACACAAATAGCTTTCACGTCTTGCACAGTTCTTTTATTAATTACTAACTTTATTTTAAATAGTTCTGCAAGCAAACTTTAAATATGTGCTTCAAAATCCAATAAATCATGCCATTATAAATATAATGACTGGTTCACTGACTGATAACTCTTGAATAGCTACTTTTTGTTCTTCATTTTGTGCACTGTGCTGTATGAACTAATTTTCCAGTACTGTCTGATTACTCAAACCTCTCACTGATTTGGCTGCGGCACAGTGCTAAAGTTGTATGGATGCCTAGTTTATGCAACCCCTTGATTTTTTGAGCAGAACAAAAGCATGAAAAAGAAGGATATTTACAGAAAATTAAGTGTTTTACAGCATGATAAGTTACGATTTCAAAATGCTCTACCTTTAAAACTACTGGTCAGAATGACTTGATATTTTACCCGAATAATCATGATGCAATGAAATTTTGTCTGGCAAAGGAAAAAATACTTCCAAAATGTGCTAATAGATGGCACTGTCAGGGATCACATTGCTGTTGTGGAGGTATGCAAATTACTACGACGTGACACGCACACCGCACCAATAGCTGTGAAAAAAATGCAGAGCACTAGCAGGATGCATAATGTTTTATCTGAGTGCTTCATCATGACTCTGGCAAACGAGGATCATGAAGCTTTTCTATCAGAACAGTGACTGTGCCTTAACAGCAATCAGGAAGTTCAGGACATTAAAATGCATAATATCCGACCTAAAGACCACATATGGCCCATAGAAAAAAATAGATAAATTCGAAGAGACCAATTCATCTGATGTAAAATGAGGTTCAGGACGAAAATCAGTTTTGGCAATAGCACTGGAAGATGTGGCCACAGCATTACAAGAACAAATGAATAGTGATGCACAGGTAATTTAAGACAAGAAAACTTTAACCATTTCACAATTTCCCTTGAGACAGATTCATTAATTTGAAAAATGCTATCAGTACTTTTGAAACTTAATACATCAAATTAAAATTAGTAAGAGAATAAATAGTAAAAATTGAACAAATTAATGGTACTGCAAATTAAAAATGCCGTAAACAGAATTTTTTGTTAAATAAAAAAAAAAAAAAAAAACTAAAAATTCAAAATAATTTTTAAGAAAGTCGATAAATCAGAACAAAGTCTAATTTTTATCATATAAATTATAACAAGAGTGATATAAAATGGAAAAAGCCGCAATATCATCTTCAGACTCTTATGTTGTCAAAAGGAGGTAAAGTCTTCTTATGTCAATACACTTCTTCCAGGCAGGCAGATTTAATTTGTTCTTGTAAGATTAAAATTATCTGAGGCACTGAATTAATAATACAAATACTTTCATTACCCCTGAAAATTAAAAACTCCTACCCTACAGAACAAATCTAAACCCCCCAAAAATATTCAATAGTAACCAGCAATACATGATACAGCGTGATAAGTTACATGATACATGTGAATACAAGTGAACAAATTCTTCTGCCTGTTTAGTTTTAATTTAATATATATTTACACATTATATCCTAGAAGCATTATGCACAGGTAATGTTTTTTTTAAAAATTCTTATTATGTATATACAGTACAAAGTCTGTAATCCGGACTCGTCGGGACTTCGGCGATGAAAGGAAATATTCAGCTTTGATTGGCAGTTTGGCAAGTTTTGTTGGTTTCGTGGTTCTTTTGGCCGGATTGGTCACATGTTGTTCCTATTGTATAGTATACGTCGTGGATTAGTAATGTATAAAGAAGGACAGTTGCATTGAAAAAAAGTAAAATAACGGGGATGATGCAAGATAGCAAAAGCCATAATTTTTCAGTTAATGATTATGAAAGGGTGGACATTTTCCAGATGTTATTCCTGCTACTGAAAAAAAATCAAATCCAATGAAGACAGTGTACTCTGCTCCCGTAAAAGAGATTCCAGAGGTAAGCCAGTAAGAAAAGAGATACCAGTGTACAGAATGTCAGGTATCACTATGTGTTGTCCCTTGTTTTAAAAACTATCATACTAAGACTAATATTTAACTTTTTTTCATTTGCCCGAGATAACTCGAGATAATAAACTAATATTAAAAGTAAATGCTTTTACACCCATAAAAAAAATTTAAAATTCAACCTAAAACCTACATATTTTGTTTTGTTTCCTTGCATTTAATAATAAAATTTTAAAATGTGATAAATTTTTGCAGTTTTTTTCAAAAACATTTTTAAGGGAAGCAGTTAAAAAGAATATTGAAATTACCTGTTTTGTGACCCAAGTATGTAACCAGCAATTAAAATATATGTAACAAATGCCATAGCTGAAAAATAAAAACATAATTAATATACACTATGCATATCAAAAGAGACAACTCTGCTATAACAAAAAAGATATAAATTAAACAGCAAAGATAATATTTTAAAAAGGTTAACTTGTAACATGCATATTGTTCTTCGAGAACAGTTATATAGCCTGAGCTGAAAAATTGCAAAAATTTAAGACAGAGTAAGGTTAAAGACAGAAAACAAGTCAGAGATTCTAAGCAAATACAAATGCTTATTGATGATTAATATGAACTTCGGTATTTAAATACTAATGTTCGAAGTTAAGTTTCGAAGAATGACAATATTTGCAATTTGACTAAAACTGAAGAAATCTCGCACAAACTACAATAATTTGTAAACTTTTAAGTTATACCCATCTTTAAAAAAAAAAAAAAAAAAAAAAAAAAAAAAAAAAAATTCGCGGAACTTTACAAACATTCTTTATTTATGATGTTTCTCTCAAAATTTTAATATGTACTTGAGAGCAACTTTGTTTTTCATGTGAGGCACATAAAAATGTGAATAATAAAAATAAATAATATGGATAAAAATTTCAAAAAAGAATCTAGAGGATGGTACAGAAGTACTTACATTAGGTTGGCAAGAAAACAATTTTGGTTTGCACAAATAGATAACATTATGTTCATTTTCCTACTATTTACTAATACTACTAACAAATTGCATGTATTTTTATTTACAACTGTTAGTATACAGTAAATTTTTAGAAAGGATGCAAAAATGAAGATTTTCAACATATTTTACTTGTTTATTTTCATAAAGGCAAGACAGGTGGCTGAGGCTCACAAAGAGATATGTGAAGTTTATGGTGTTGATTGCTTAACAGAATGTGTCAGAAACATTTTTAAAAATTTCACTCTGGAGATTTTTCACTTGAAGATGACCAACTTTCTGGCTGACCTATTGAAGTTTATGATGACAAAATTAAAGACATAATGGAATCAAGTCATCATATAGCTGTGCAAGAAATTGCAAAAAGGTTAAATGTATTATCCCACACAACAACTGAAAATCACATAAGATGTCTTGGACTCATAAGAATCTTAATATTTAAATTCTATATGTATTAAAAGAAATTCACTCAATGAATGAATAAACGTAATGCAATTGACCCTTTTTTTAAATGAATTATCAACAGTGATGAAAAATGTATCATCTATAATATCCAAAAAGATCATAGTCCAAGCATAATGAATCAACACAAATCATATTGAAAACTAAATTGCATCAGCAAAAGATGCTGTCAATTTGTTGGGATTCCAAAGATGTATATTTTAGCTGCTTCAAGTAACCAGACAATCAACTTTGATGTTTACTGCTAAAAACTTATGAAATTGGAGAAAGTGATTACAGAAAAAACCAGAATTGGCAAATTGCAGAAGAACTGTGTTCCACCATGACAATCATGAAATTAAAAGAAAGATTGCAAAAGGTCATCAAACAGAAGGGAAGATATTTGACCAATTAAAGTTATTTTCCTTACAGAAAAAAATAGTTTTATTTCATACTAAAGAACCAAAATTACTTTCTTGCCAACCTGATATTATGCTTAAAATAATATGATTGCAAAAGGAAATGAAGAAAAATGATCATGATAAGCTCTGTACATAAAGAAAAGCTTATTGTTAAATGCCAGCAAATTTTTTACGGATGCATTTATTTAAAATGTTCATCAGTGATTGATGCAGCAAATGATGACTGACCAGTTAACTATAAAGCATGATGCGCAAAATGTACATCTTTACTTGGCTGCCAGTAATTACAGAAAAATTAAAAGGCAGATGATATATAAATTTGGATCTTCCTTGATCATAACTGTTAACCTGAACAAAATCGTTGATGAAACAAAAAAATGTTTCAAACACAAAGAGAAACAGAAAACTAAAACAAGTGATCATGAGAAAACAAAAAAAGACATATGCAGCATTGAGATGGTTCCCAGGACATATGGTGGTAGCAAGAGTCTCAGCCTATTATCCACTCTGTGTTCATGCTGTATGTACTACGTTAGATGAGAATTGTTCACAGCATCAATTTGGAAGATTATGATAAAATGAATGGCTGCTTTACTGATTTGGTACTAGAATATTTCTTCTTCTGGGGCTACCTTAAGTATAAAAGCTATGCCCATGATAAAAATCAATAATTTAAAGAAAGCAATCACCGAGGATTTCAGTAACATTCCAGATGAGCTGTGCACCAATGCATGCAAACATGCTGATCACCAACAAACATGTCTTGATTTTCTGACAGAAATGCATATCATTACTGTAAAACATGTGCACTAACTTTTGTCATGAATTTTTTAAATCTGTAACTTTTATTTTTCATTTACTGTAAATTATATTCTTCACCTTTTTTTTTTTTTTTCCAGTCAAATCACTTTAAGCAAGATATAACTGATTTTTGCCCATCTTACAAAATATGCTCTTTGCAGTCACTGCCATGTCCATGATATTAACCCTCTCGCTGCACATCCCACAATTTCCACAGGCAACGTAGAAGTAGCAAAATTTGCGCAACCCGCGTTTTCCGCTGGGATGAATTTTTGCCATCTATTTAACTATGCAACCTGCTCTTTTCAAGTTCAAGGTTTCCTTTCGACTTTTCTGTGATGTTTAATTGTTTATTTAGATGTGGGCTAACAGATGGTGCTAATTGTCCACATTTCTGCCAAATATAGAAGAATACGTAGTGTAGCATTTTGTGCGCTTTTCAGAGCTCAAACATGTCTGGCAGGAAGCGTTTCACGACTGATATAACCTATATTCCTGACGATATTTCCAACACTGATAATAGTTCTGACTCTGATTTTATGTGTATTGAAGATAGTTAAAGCAAAACTGATGAGAATTTCTCGGATTCCTCTGCAGATAGTGATTAATCTGAAAATTCAGTTTCTATTGAAAACGTTCAACAGCGGTGCAAAATTGATATGCAAATATTTTCATTAATATATGCTTTACCTTTGTATTTTATAATATAAATCATAATTTAAACAATATTAATTTTCAAAATTTTCCTTTTATATCATTATTCTTCAATTTCAGTATTCTGACAACCTTTTTCTATGATCTAATTCCATATCGAAAAAAAAACTCTTTTAATTTTTTTTTCTATATTTTAGCTCTAAAATATAGAAAAAAAAATTAAAAGAGTTCTAAAATATATTTTAGCTCTAAAATATAGAAAAAAAAATTAAAAGAGTTCTAAAATATATGTAGATTTGAAATATGTAATAAAAAATATGCAATTTTTGAACCTATTTTGATAAAAAAATTTATGCAGTGAGGGGGTTAAATGAATGACTATGGATATCAAACTAAATATCAAATACATGCATAAATGTTCAAAAACATACTCAAAATTCACATACATAGTAGTATGTTCATAAAGATTTTTTGGGTTACAAAGAAAATTTTATTTTACTAAAAACAATAACATAAGCTATATCATAATTAAGTAATAAAATTTGTATGTGTCCAACTGGCATATTTTTATCAAATGATGTAACACTTGGTATATCTTTGTTGGAACCATGCAACCAGGAACCTGAAAACACTGGAAGACTGGACACACAAGATATTAAATTATACTCTTTTTTTTCAGATTCCTTAAATTTAAATTCATTTCCCAATTATTTTTAAAGTTAAATAAGATAATTTTAATTTCTGTTTTAACTTAATTAACTTACACACATGCAATTCATTAAAAAAATTAAGTACTTAAGTTAACGCATTAAGAGAATGTGATTGTTTTCAAAAGAACTATGTCATATTTATGTAGACAAGCCTCATGAATAGAGTGTACATGTGATTGTTGATATAATCACTTACGGTCACGACCACCAACAGTGATCAGTATCGAAACAAAGTACTGGCAACATAAGCAGTTGCCCAGTGCACCATTAAGAATCTCTCTGCCCCTGGTGCTTCTAACATTTTTCTGTCTAAACTTGAATGAGCTTGTATGCTGAGCTACAGCATTTTTTGTCGTTTTCCCTTTCTCAGATAACAATCTTTCACTTTAAAAAATATAGAGATGATAGCACTGAACTGATAACAAGCTAGAATCAGGATTTTGTTACTTGTTTCTAAGAATGTTCTTGTGGTTTTTGTTTTCTGTCAAATCTAATGATGTACACTGCACACACAAAAAAAGGAGGAAACAGCTCTATGTCTCCCATTCCAGAGGGCCGATTGATGAAATTCAGCTTGCATTTTTCATGTCTTGAATGCATGACTTCAGGTTTTCTAAAATGTCAAGCCAATTTTTTTTTCATATTTCGATTCTACAACTCAAATTATGCCTAAATGCAATTTTTTTTTTTTTTTTTTTTTAATTTGGTGCGAAATTTACGGAGAAATTCAAAAATTTATCTTGCCACTTTTTTTCGTTTTGTGCCAAGAATAATTCACCAGTTGGAATTTCTTAATTTACAGCAACTCATTTACCTTTCCCTTTTCATCATTTTACATGAGCAGAAAAAGTCTTCAGTCATACTTTTAAATAATTTTAACAAAGTGCCTAAACCACATTTGTTGTTATTTTCGCTTTCAACAAATATGCCAAATTTCAAAACACGCTAATACAGTACAAAGTCTTTAATCCGGACTCTTTGGGACTTCGGCGATTCCGGATTAGGGGTTAGGATCGGATTCTATTCGCGAGCCTGGTGCAAACATCGGAACTGGTTCCCGTTAAATGGGCATGTAGTTAATAGATAATTAGATAATTTTAGCCTAGCCTATACCGTCCGTTATACATTAATGCGCATGCATAAACGTATTATGCGCATGCGCAGAAAATTTGTAGCTTTGAGGTCCAGATTGATGCAAAAGCAAAGTTTAAAGTTATAAAAACATTTAGCAGAAATAGCAATAGAAGCTCCCTAAGGTTATATACTGTGCAGACATAGAAGAGAAAAGTTTTAAACTTAACCAATTTATTAACAATATATGTAAAAATAAAAATACAA